TTCCTTGTAATACTTCCTCCATGTACATGTAATACGGATCGTTGTGACCTTAAATAGCATGATATGTTATTAAATACTTCCTTCCTTGTAATATCCAATAATCGGTGATTGAATGTACGTTGTCTAACGCCCCATAAGAGATTTTTCACTCATATGAGTGGGTATTGAAAGATGTTGTGTAAAATTTTCCGATTTTCAGATAAGGATTTTGATAATTTTGAGAAGTTTTGAACTTTTGAAAATAAAAAAAAATATTTATGTAAGATAGTATATGATGGTTCGTCCAAACCATTATTGAAATAATGCAGCTCTTACGTTCACATTTTCTCTGATTAAATTTGTTATGCTGCTTAAGGAAAGTAAAGCAATTAATTGTTACAAAATAGTTTTGATTTGAATTAAGACATTATATACAAATCATTAACGACTGTGACACATGATTACTATATATTCTTCCGGGCTTTCAGGAAAACAGTCTTTGAGAACGTACTTATGTGTTGGTATCATTATGCCAATTCAAGGATCACTTTCCTGTTTTTACAGCTTAATAACGGAGTGGTTCCTTACTGTGTATTTGAAAAGAGTTTAAAATAAAAAATAATTTCAAGAGCAAATGATTAAGAGTTCAATTGAGAGATTACTTGATACTTCAGGTCAGCATTAAGGCTGAATTATAAATAGGTATACATTGTACCACTAACAATATAAACTCGAGTGTGTTCAAAGACGACTATTTCCCACCCAACCAGATTGAGAATAGAATCTATCTAACAATTAGCAATTTTGTTCCTGTATTTACATGACAATCAGTATTAATGAAATCCTCAATTTACTTTGAATTTATAACAAAATTATTATCGAGGAGTTATTACAAGATATTTTAGACCTTTTTGTCCCTCGCTTTCGTGATGCGAGTGAGCATTAAATTTCATTCATCTTTCAGTTTGTTAGTCTGTCTATCACAAAAACTTTAATCTTGGTCATAACTTTTGAATGAGAAAAGGTTGGGCTTTCATATTTCTCATATACATTACCTGTGACAAGACCTTTTCAAATATACAATGTACTATGATTTTTACCCCGTGACCTTGACTTGAAATTTTACCTACTTTTTTAAAATTTTAACATGACTTTTACCTTGGTCATAATTTTGAATGAGAAGAGAGAGATAAGGCTTTCATATTTCACATGTACATTACTCTCCCTGTGACAAGACCTTTTAAAATGTAACTGCAATGTATGATTTTGACCCCTTGACCTTGAAGTTTGGTCTAATTTTCAAAATTTTTTAGTATTGCTGATGATTTTTGAATGAGAGAAGATGGAACATTCATATTTGACATGTGCATTACCTGTGACAAAACGTTTCTGAAATGTGCAATTTTTTTTTTCACCCCGTGATCTTGACCTTGAAGTTTGACCTAATTAAAAAAAAACATTGGTGATAATTTTCGAAATTATGAGAGAGGACAGGTCGTTCATATTTGACATGTGCATTACGCGTGTCACGAAGTTTCCGAATGTGCTATGATATGTGACCTTGACCTTCAGTTGATATATTTTTCAGAAGTTTTATCATTTCTGACAACTTTGGATGGCGAAAAGAGAGGGCATTAATATTTGACACATGCAGACCTGTGACAAGGCGCTTCTAAATGTACTATAATTTTGAACCCATGACCTTGACCTTGACCTAATTTTCAAACATTTTTACATTGCTGAAAACTTTTGAATGTGAGAGGATAAAGCATTCATATTGTTTCAAGTCTTTTCCAAATGTATGCTGGTTTTTGACCTCGTGACCTTGACATTAAAGTTTAACCTACAGTTTTTTTTCCAATTTATTTACAATGGTAATAACGTCTGAAGGAGAGAAGATAGGGCTTTCATATTTTGACTGTACATTACCTATATGACAACACCTTTCAGAAAGGTATGTCATTTTTGACTTCATGACCTTGACCTACAAGTTTGAAGGACACACAAACAAGATAGTTACAATATGCCGTAAATAACTGCATCCCAACCACCCAGAAACCGAAAGTGGTGGACAACTATTCTTTGAATTTGCTTGCTGGAATATTTCATTCATTATTGGAAACTCAAATATGTCTAGACGAAATATTTGTCTCCGAAGCATTGTGAGTTCAGTTAAAACCAAATTTTTATTTAAGCAAAATAAGGTGCTACTTAAACGTTTTATTGAGGATTTAAGCCCATTTTATATGTGTTCGATTTCTTCAAATTCTAATCTATATAAAATAGCAATGGTTACATATTCGACGTTGATAGAAAATTTCAAACATTTAAGATATATATTTTTTTAATTTTCTTGTATTTTCAGTCTACTTTTCTTAAATTTAAATCAATAAATTCGCAAGGAGAGAAAAAAAAATCAAAATATGGATATTCTCTAGCCAAAACTTAGCAACGATGTTAAAAATTATTTATCATATAATTAGTAGAAAATATACCGATTCTGCAGTGTGCGATACGGGTGACGTTACAATACCCAATATCAGGGACCGGTCCGAAAATACATATACCCGGTATAGCACGTATCGGACCGGCGTGCAAAAATCCATATTAAACCGAAAGTAACCTTTGTATAATGTTAGAAAGTTAATTAACTTGATTTATTTAAATATACAAGTAAAATAATTCTTTACTAACATTTGTAGACTTAATTTGTTTTCAAAGACCTTAAATTGGCTCTTTTAGATTTTAAAGAAAAAGGTCATAAAATGCACGAAACATTCATCAATGACTTTATTTGAACTTGCATATAAAGTATTTTAAATATATAATAAATAGAATACTACATACTAAAATCCATTTCATATGTCATATCAACCCTCGGGCCCCTTATCAGCCCTCAGGCTGATATGGGGCAACTCGGGCTGATATGGCATATGATATGAATTTTAGCATGTTTTGTTTGTTTGCATGTTGTTTAACGTCCCGGTTTATTGCATGGACCCTGAGGTGGGGTTAAACCGGATGCCATGGGCTTACGTCAGGCTACGCATGCGCGAGAATGCTAGAGAGTTCGCCTCTAAGACAACTTGCCCTTAGAACAATTCGCCCTTTTCGAATTAGAATATGTCAATCATTGGCAAACCTCGCTCTAAAATCTGCACATCGTATTTATTTATTCTTTGGCGTAACCAAGATCTGAATTTCTCTTTAATACATATATCCTTATATACAAACTAAATTCTATGGTACAAGCGTTTTAAATAAGTAGGAAAAACTTATGTAGATAGCTTAACACCTTGAACATGTTGAATTAAGAACTTAAAAACACCCCCCCAAAAAATCTGCGTACTACAGATCTGTGTTACATGTGCACCATCTATCTTTCCAATGATAGGATTCCGTATAAATCTAGTGCAGATGTCAAGTCCCAGCCGTTATGGGTTACATGTATCGAAATAGCCCGATTTTTTAAATGACAAAACTATAGGCCAATCGGGAATAACATTTAACAAATTTGCTATGAAAGTACAATCACTCAAAGTAGGCAGTTCATTGTAGAAAATGTTAACGAAAAGTTGATCTGTTCCACCTTTCAGAGTAACCAATGAACTCGTCCATGGATGCATTGACGGTCGTTGTAACAAGAATAGATATGGGTTACCCCATATCCAAGATATTCGACTTTTAATTTACTCTAATTTTCACTAGAAAAAAAACTGCACATGTTATGAAACTGGTGTATAGTTCTTCATGTCCGTAGCAAATACCGTCACCAGTCTAAGCGTCATTAGCAAACAGTGCACACACCTGTGCAAGCTTGCAAGACCAAATAGCCTAGGTCTACACACGTGCGATGAGATTGTCAATCGCATCTTCTCAGACCTTCTGGCGAGCTCGGAAAAACGCGCTGTTTTGCCGAGAAGTTACGATTGCAGGTGTTGAAGTACTTATTGAAAATACTAGACGTAAAAATATCTATATTACAGGAAAAATACACTCTCTCTCTTCCTCTCTCTGCAAAAATAAATGGGGTTGCAACATCCGATCCCCCTTTCCTGGATCCGCCAACGGAGTTACAATTCAACCATTACGACACCTGCACGCTTTGGACTCTTTTAATTCTGTTGTTAATTTTAAAGGCTACTTTACCAGTGTTTACATTTGTGAGAAATACCTAGATCAACATTTCACAATCTAATTAAAATGAGATGTTCCGATTCCGCTACCGCACCTTTTGAGAACGGTAGCGGATTCGTAACATCTAATTTTAATTAGATCGAACATTTCATATTCACATAATTTCAAGGTCATGGTTTTTTATCATTACAGCCTAATTAAGCAGACTTAAATAACGATGAAAATTACAAGATACATGTAAAAAAAAATTAAATCTAATTACACCTTTGTAAAATCACTAAATCTAGAAATTTTCTTTGAATTTCGTGTAGAAACACATGCATATGGTCCACGTATTGTTGTCCTTTTTTAAAGGACAGCAACTTGTACGGTCTCATCCGAAGGACCGGTCTCCACGTCTCACAGTTGGACTCGAACCCGCGACGTAAGTATCACCTCTTTACTCCGGGACTCTAGAGCAGACGCTCTAACCACTGCGCCACGCAGGCGACTAATTTTAGCATGTAATATTCTCTATGTAAAGCTCCTGCTAACTGCTTTCAAATGATGTATGAAACTTTTGCAATCATTGGACTAAAGTTAATGTCATTTCTAACTATGTCTTGAAACATTAATTCCAATTTCCCGATTCAAAGTTAACCATATGTAGTAGAAAAAATTAATTTATTGAAGGACTTATTTTAGTGGAAAATTAAAATCAGGTTCTTTTTTTTTCTCCTCATTGACTCAGACATTATGATATAACTCAGAGCTAAAAAAAAAAAAAGAAAAGAAAGAAAATGTCTCTGTGACTTAACAATGGGCACTGCATTTGTTTCATTTCAATTATTTGAACAAGATTTTAATTTTTCTGATAAAAAAAAGTGAAATAAAAATTTGTTAGAGCAATTTTTCCCTCCCTGAAAAGCCGTTTTTAAATGATTTCAATATATGAATGAAGTGTCGAGTCGTCATTGTTACTCTGGCCTCTCCTTGGCCATGTCTTCTGAGATAGTAAAGAAAGAATCGGAAACGAGGGTGAGGCGCATCTGCAAGGAGGAGGAATAATGGCATTTAAATCGAGATAACCTTCATTTACATTCATGTACGTTGGTTCATCATCATTCAACGACGCCGTTTCATCCGTATTTACGTAAATAACCCCCATTTCATTCACGTAAATTGATTCGTCCGATGAAATTGGTCGGTCAGATGGTGGAATATTGTTGTCCAATTTCTGTACCTGAGTAGTTGATCTATTCTGACGATGTAGTGTATTTTCCTGAATCAAAGTATCTGTGACAGGTGCCCTTTGGGTCTGATCATTGAATACTCTTGAGGTAATTGGAGAATCCCTGTTGAACTGAATGGGTACTCGCTCTGTGTTTCCGTGAGGTGTATCAAATGGGTTGTAATCGTTTAAAATTACATCGAGTTGTACATTTTTTGTCATGCTGAATCTATGTAATAAAAAATGCACTGAATACATTGTTATTTTTCTTTTCTAATAGGTAAAACACAAAACAACAAAAAACAAACAAACAAACAAAAAAAGCGACCTTTTCATTTTTTAAAAATGAACATTAGTGTTATTTCAAATCATTTTCATGAATCAGAATAAAACATACCCTGGATTTAATTTCTTTGTTCTTATTCTCGCCGAGAGAAAAATGAAAAAGACAAGGAGCACCAGTAAGCCCCCTACTGCTGCAGAGAGGATCAGGGGGAAATAGGGGTGGTAAACGTTTATAACGGAGTTGGAAATTTCTTGCTTAACCAGCTCAGTTGAGGTTCGTTGTGTTGAGTTGAATATGAACTTTTCTGTTATATTTAAGGGAATATGTAACTCTTCGGCACGCAGTGTCTCTGAAGAAGAAAAATACATTTCTTTTCATAAAGAGAAAATTATTTTCACTCTTATTTTGTTTAAATATGAATCTGTAAGCACAAAGAAGAAATTATAAGATATTTCAAATTAATTTATGATTAAGTACATAATATAATACATAATATAATATGTAAAATAATATTTGTTATATGTTTAATAAAAAGTAAAAATGACATAAGAATTGTGTATAAAACTAAATTATATACTTCAAAGATATGTACATGTAGATTATATCATGAAAAATAGAATTTACTACTATGAACCAAAAAAATATTTTTCCGTGTCATAATTCTTTGAGGAGAAAAAATATCATCGGTTTACCTGATGAATTTCCAGCATAGTAAATTGTTATTGTTCCTTCACAACATCTCTTTCCTCGTTCCTGAGTCCCAAAAGGGTAGTGGATCTCGAGGGGGAAGTCGTAATCGTAGAATTTCAGACACTTTGAGGAATTTATTTCTAATCCTTCAATGTCAGTAACATTCAAAACCCCACATCTAGAACACCATTCTGGATAAGAACATCTAATAAGTTTTTCATCCATTTTCAAATGCGGAAATATTTTTTGAAATGACTTTCACTTCCCCATATTTCCCATAATCTTTTTTTACAAACCTTTGTCATATATTTTGAGAGAGTATAGCTGTGTAAACTGAATGTTTTTTAATGCCTGTATAATTAAGCAAAGTTGCACATTTGAAATAAGAACGATTATACACTATAAATGCATTGTGTTTGGATATTTGTAATATTTTTTTTATACACGCCCAATTATTCATCATTAAAGAGCGTTTGGATTAATTTTAATGATATACTGATAAAATGTATACATTTAAAACCATATTCTTGAGAAGTGTACCTTAAAAGAGTTTGTCAACGTTTAAGAAATGAAATATAATTTCTAATTTATTACAAAATGAAATCAGCTGGTGCTGTTCATGGATGGAAAATGAGGTAAATTAAAATGCAAGTACATTGTATCACTGCATGTGTTTCTTTACACGGCATCTCAATAACACGTTAGTTTGCAGAGTGATAATGTCTTGCTTAACAAAATTTTTAAAATGTTGTAGAAAAAGTCTTTTCTTAAGACATAAAACAAGTTTCAACTTATAGATTAAACTATGAATCATATCCTTCGATTCGAGCTAAACTTGTATATTCACCGCCAATAAGAATGAGGTATCAGGTGTGAGAGATCACAACACATGTAAACGATCCACAAAGCGCGCACTTTTTTTTAATGAAACCGGAAAAACAATAATGGTACCTAAAACTTACAACCGAAGGTCGAATTAATAATTCCGGAAAGTGCCAATGTCTGGCGCTACCATTTTTCTTTTTCTTTTTTTTTTTTTTTTTTTTTTTTTTTTTTTACTAACAGTGTTTTTCCAATATTACTTTTAAAAAATACCGAAAGCAAATTAAACTGTGTGTAACACTAAACCAATATATGGTACAACACCGTCACAGGGTAGACTGCCCTCAGGTGTGGGGATTATTTTGCCCCATGTTCCAACATAATTAAACATGTGTACATAGCATAACAATGATAACATAAAGCAAATGTTTAGTCAGTACATCACAAAGTCCGAGTATTTCTGAGGAAGGACGCGCTGACGTTGTGGTTTAGCCGGGGAAGATGCATTGTCAGCTCCAGTTACTTCAGTTTCCTGGGCAGCAGAAATGTGTTGGTCAGTCGGAGGTTCACGTTGGTCATCATTTACGCCATTGTCAGGTGTATCTGGCGGTTTGACATATGACACTGGAATCGAAGATATTGCTTTCGGGATGAATGGTAATGCAGGCGGATTGACATCAGTAGGTAGACTGATGGATTCATCATCAGACAAAACATCAGGGGAAATATCCTTTAGCTTTTCAGGGTAATGGACACTTGGTACTTTAAAACAGTCTGACGCTTTTACCCGATAAGAACTTTGGAGTAGTTGTGAACCTGCAAATCGACGTATGTTGCACCATGGGTAGTCAATGTTCGCGATGATATATCTCTCTCGGGATTTGGTTTTGTTAAGGTCGCATCGTAGGTAAACAATATCTCCCACACTCAGTTCTGGGTCTGGTGGTAGTTTGTGGGAAGGGCATTTAGCTCGTTCACTATAGGAGTGGTTCTTATGACGGAGATCATGTTGAGATTGGATAAGGTCTTGATCCACAAGTGAAATTTAAGTATTGGAAAACTGATCCCTTTGTAGCCACATCTCTCTGGCAGAAAAACCCCTTTTTCTGATACGTGTGTTTAGACGGGCTGTCATAAGGGCGAGGGTTAGATTTGAGACTATGTTGTTTAATGGGTCAAACCGAAGTATCTCCTCCTCTAGTTCTTGGATTGCCCTCTCTGCCACAGGATTCTTGTTCACGTTCTTAGGACGACCAAGTTCAATGGTGATAGGGTGTCTTGCAAGAAGTTCATCGTTTACTAGGGCCTTGAATCCCGGGATTGACTCTGTTCTTACAACCGCAAATGGACCATCAAGAGGGTTAACATCGGCTAACAGCTGGATAATAGCATCACGAAGTTCTTGGTTGCGTTCAGTCTCTAACAAGTTGGTAAATGTATATGAGGTTACGCTTTCTCGTAGCACAAATATCATCTGCCGTTCGCGTCTAAGAACATCAGCAGCAAAGGAAGTGCCGACAGTCTCTGGAGGATCAGAAGAGCTCTGTTGCTGGCAAAACTTTGGCATTTTCTGAAGAGAGGCACATTGGTGACATGTACTTGTGACCACTTCTACAACTTTGTCCAAGTCTAAGGCGTAGAAATATCGACTGACAACACACTTAAGTTGGTGAGTAGAGGGATGGTCAAGTTTAATATGCAACGAGGTAAGTAAGCCATTCAAGACTTGTCTAGGGATAATGATACATCCCCTGCTTGGTGAAAATGGAACGTCCCGCTTTACTACCAACAAACCGTCTTTTGAAATGGATGCAACATTGAGGTATCTTTTAACATCTCACACATCCGTAAATTTCTTTGATGGACGCGTTCCCTGACGTAGATGGGCCACTGTACGACGAAGGTCAGAGCACTCGGATTGGATTGAATGCCATGCTGTCCTGCTCGTGAAAGGTAGTTTTGTTGTTCCATCAAGGATGTCCTTTGTGGTCACGTGACGAACCACAGACTCCTCTGACGATTGATGAAACTACAGATCTGGCACGAGGTGTTGTTACATTCCGAAGCATTTCGGCTGGCAAAGTCAGAAGGCAAAATAGCTTGACCGGAAATGTGCCTAATGGATATCTGAAAGCGGCTTGCAGTTGATAGGAATGTAGAAACTCTAGGGCTGGCCGAGAATTCTTCTCTGCAAAGCTTTTCGTATGCCTGAACACATGGTTTGCTGTCTGTTAATACACAGGATGGAAGCACAGATTGTATTATATATGGGCTGTAATGTTTAATGGCTGCGGCAATTGATAAGGCTTCGATTTCGCATGGTAACCATTGTCGCTGGTTTTTGCGGAGTTTTGCACTAAAAAAAACCTGCGAGGAGAAGTTTGCCTTTCCTCTCTACATAAAGGGTGGCTCCAAGTCCATATTTCTTTAAGGCTCCATCCGTAATAATCCACAGTTGATCACTTGGGCATGGAAGGGTAATAGATTTGTGTGTAGTTTATGCCACTTGTGCTCTATGGAAGGTTGACAGCAGATCATCAGTCCACACAATTCTGTCCTTGGGATCACGGCCAGCTACAATGTCATCAAGTGGAGCAAGGAGCTGTGACGTATCCTGGATAACACGTGATAAGACTTTATAAGCACCAATGAAAGAGCGAAGAGAAGTTACTGTCTGGGGAGTCTCACAAGTAGAAAGGGTGGAAATGCGGTCTTTGCTTGCACTAATTGTGCCGAATTGCCAGATCAAACCAAGAATCGTTGCCTGAGCTGGTGCAATTATTGTCTTTGATGCCGAGAGATTAAGGCTGCTTCTATGTAGGGCCTCAAGGACGCTTTCCCAGTTACGCATGAGATCCTCAGGTGTGCCGCTATCACAATACAGGTCATCAGCGATTTTGGCTACAACTCCTTCCTGAACAAGGTGACCAGGAACTCTGCATGTTAGTTCCTCTAATGCAGTTTCTGAGCCTGGCATTCCCATAGCAGATCTCAAATACACTCGCACTCCGCGGAATGGTTTGGAAACGCCGCAATATTTCTTGACTCCCTTGCCAATGGAATTTGGTAGAATGACTTTGTCAGATCTGTTATGACGATATTCTTCCATTGGGCTATTTGTCTTAATGTTGAGTCTATGTCCGGCATTAGGGATGGTTGCGGTTTGCTGTAACGTCCGACATCAGCAAAGGCAGTCACTAGCCTAAATCCACCATTTTTTTTTTTTTAATCAGGAAGGATGGATTGACGTACTCTACAGTAATTCCAATGTCTTCAGGGCGTTTGAAGACACCAATGCTTTCAAGTTCGTCATTTTTTTCTTGAAGAGTGTCAAGTTGGTGCTTGGAGTACTGAGGCACTCTGCCCTTCCGTTGGGGTGGTTGAACAGGCCCCATATTTACCTTGGCTTCTAGAGGTCCAACTGCACCATTATAACCTTTAAAATTTGGGTTAAAAACGCTGTCATACTGGTTTAGGAGTTCCCTAAATTCTGATCTTAGTCCTTCAGACAGCAGCTTGTCTGGGTCAATACTAACTTGGTCTGAATGTCGAATGTGAGAACCATATTGTGTCGATTTCAGTACGGGTGAGGCTGATGAGATCGATTTTTCATGCACACATGTAGATCGGACTTTGCAGAAGTGTTCGTTGCGTTTGAGTACACGTGGTGTACTTGTGAGATTGGGTACACGCAATTTTCCAGCAACGCTTTGAAGAAGACAAGGTTCTGGCCATTCATCTGCCTGGGTTACATTATTGTCTGGATGGGGTTCTATAGCAAATAATGTAGAGTCAGTAGGAACCATACCTGTTGGTAGCTCAATCTCAATAAATTCCCCAGGCCACACAGTTGTTTATTCGGGTGGGGCACGTGCAATGCGAGCTCTTCGTACTGCATGTCTCTGCATTTCAGCATCTGACAACCTATATTGGTAAACATAGTCATTCCCGATAAGTACCTCACAGCGGGATGGGCGAATAGCGATGTCATTGTTTTCCATGAATGGTATGCCTGCTAATACTTCACAGTCAAGGTTTTCTACTACAAGTCATTCAAAATATAGTTTATGTTTGTCCCTATTGAAGGTAAGTCTTGTTTCACCAATAACTTTGAGAGGTGATGATCCATCAGCTTGATGAGCAGACTGTGAGCTCCGAGTTATTTTTGCATTGAGATAAGAAGCAGTTGAGGCACGAATCATATTTCCTGTTGTACCGCTGTCAATAGTCAGCCTGACAGGATGGTGTCCAAGGAATACGTCGAAGTACGGAGACTGTCTCACTTGAATACGATTGGTAGCGAAAGGCTGCTGGTCCTCATCACTGTCCTCTGTGTCACACATGATTGACTCATCTCGATCATAGATTTCAGTTATGGCACGAGCCTTAGCCATGAAGTGACGGTCCTGTGAAGGCAAACATGCACATTTGCTTAGAAAGTGTTTGTCTGGCCGTCCTGCTGTCTTACATAAGGGACAAGGCTTCTGTCTGGACTGTTGCTGACTTTGCGAGGTGGTACTCGGCTGCTTCTGGAACCTATTGACTAAAGCCCTCATGGACTTTGCATCTTCACTCATGCGAAGTTCCTCCAGGAGTGAGTCCAGAGCCTGTGAAATTTCAGGCTTAATAGACGCAAGGGTTCTAGCCCGCAACTCTGTTCCATATCTTTGTTTCACAAGCTTGGGAAGACCCGAATGAATAAGTCTTAACCATGTAAGAACCACAAAATTTTTTAGTGATGGGCTGAGCTCCTCATCATCCTATATAGTTTCGCCATGATGTGTGATTCCCATATCTTTTCGAAGCAAGGTATCTTCAACGAAGGCTGTGAGTCTTTTGAATAAGTCTTCCGGACGTTCATTTGGGTCAAAACGAATAGAGTCAAAGTCTATGAAGTGAGCCCCTGTCGTTTGGAAGCCATAATGAAGTCGAATTGTTTGCCAAATTCGATCTATAGATGTAGAGTTCTTGACAATGGTATTACGAGATATTGTAGGGCAATAGTTTGCAATCTGGCCAAGCATCAATTCCAAAATGTTTACCTTTTGCTCTTTCGTGAGTCGACTCGCCTCGGGTATGTTTTCATCATCTTCGCTGAACCCGCGGTACGGGGTACTCTTTGCTTTTTTCCCACCAGGTTCCTGATACAAGGAATGGAGCAAAATTTTTGTCTAAGGAAAGGGTATATAACAGATTTTGACGCCAATTTTCAAACGACGTTACTGTCTCAGTCTTTGTTAAACACCACTGTTTTGGTGCACGTGGAGTGTTCGCCATACTGAAAAATGGGTCACAACTTCAAAACTAGAATATGCACTGTACTGTTCACAAATGACCACAGGAACAACTCCGTTCCGGTGTGACTTCTCAATAAACCACTTCCTGGAGTCGTGAGTTTGATATCGCTGCCACCACGCCAATAAGAATGAGGTATCAGGTGTGAGAGATCACAACACATGTGAACGATCCACAAAGCGCGCACTTTTTTTTAATGAAACCGGAAAAACAATAATGGTACATAATACTTACAACCGAAGGTGGAATTAATAATTCAAGAAAGTGCCAATGTCTGGCGCACGGTATACTAGTAGTATACAGTAGAGTTTTGTCAATTAAGTAACTTCTTCTGGAAAATTAGAAACAAAAGTTTCATTTGTCTTTGTGAAACTGGATTTTTACAGAACTTGTTAGAAATAGTCAAAGACAAGAGTTGATCTTCACGTCGAGTGTACAAATCAAAACTGAAAAAGAAGAGAACATTTACCAACAACAAACCATGTCACTAATTATAGTAGAGAACAGTTCCCTCTCTTTTGCTGCGAATATAAGTGACTTGGATCAAAATTTGCATCTTTTACAATATACAATATTTTGACCCGCAAAAATCAGCATTTGAGAAGACAACTAGGTATCTTTTGCGATTTAAAAAAATATTTTACTTTATTTATTCATTCATTTATTTATTTATTTATTAGTTCTACAAAAATTAATGCAATCCCAAAATAAAGTATCGGAACAAAGAGAGTGGTTGCATTAGAACAGAAAGTTCAAAATGCAAAAAAAATTTAACACAAAGTGTATATTGTACAAGTCTACGAGACAAGAATCCTGGTGATTATTAACTTAAAGCAGAACAATTCCTGTACTTAACTTAAATCTAGAATTTATAAATCAAATTTTAACCGACGACCACGCTCTTTATTGATTCGAATGACTAGTATTTATGATAAAGAGGCCATTCTTCAAACTTGTTGGGAAAAACATTAGGATCAAAGGCCCCAAATAACTGAGGATCCCAACTATAACTCAGGGAAACGTGCAAAAAACTTATTTCCTTGCTATTGGCAGCCAAAGAGCAAGGATAAAAAGCTTTCCTAAGAAAAGACAGACTGTGTATTGAAAGTAAACTGTACTAGTGTATAAGGAAATGGAATATTGGATAAGAATCATAAGAACGGAACCTCGGAGACTTCCTCGCCAGTGGTTTGGAATTTTATGCAATATCAATGCAAATACTGAACGTTTAAGGAGGTTGGACCCTGCTATCCAAAGTATTTAGAAATTTTGTCAAGTACATTTTTTGGAATCTACACACATAGCTCAATTAAAAATCAAAACACAAAACGGGGTTTAATGAGCTTCTTTTGGCGCTAAGGAGCATTCACTATGAACGTTTTGCACTGTAATTACGCCAAACATATAAATCAATTTTTCAAAGTTTTTCTTCCAATATTTTTTATTCAAATAAATGACCGGAACAAAAACAGTCTCATTTTATCTTGAATAGACACATTAAAATTTGTGACAACAAAAAAAGTTTCAAATTACTCCGCATGATCAATTATTTGACCTTTCTGCACTCAAAAACGTCATTTTTCTGGCATTAAAAATTTTACAAGCAATAAAATCATTTGAAAGTAATGTCATTTTACTAAATTTAAGCAGAATGGTTAAAATTATCATATATATTCAGAAAAGAAAATTAAAAGTGGGGGTCTGTGATGTTAATTTTTAAATATTGCTAATAAAGTGTTAATTTTAAGCTTAAATTGGGGCTATTTTTTCCTAAACTTTCACAATATATTTGCTATATTTGTCAAATATGATGATAGAATTCATGACAGTTAATTTAATATGTAATTTAGGACCAATATAAAACAGTTCACTGCACAAAATAAATCTGTGTGCAGACTGCATGGAAAAATACAAATCCAAAATTGATCTTTTTCTTCTAAAAATTCTTCTGCCACAAAATATAGTTTCTCACTTAATACTTTTAGTTTAGAATTTAATCGTGAGGTTTCAATTGAATATAGTTTAATTTGCATTGTAGAATCCAAATTCATTATAGGTCATGTTGATGTTTTCCTTCGAATATTTAGAGAAAGGTTGAGAGACTATGCTTATATCAATCCTGAAGTGAACAGAATAACGATTCACCAAAATTGTCATTTTATGTTTTGTTCAAAAATCCGCTTTTCTGTGAGTATTACATATCATGTTTGGGTTACCATTTTACATGACATGTAGACATACATATACTCTGTCTTCATTCCGATGTTCTCTTAATAAAAATCAAAATAAATTTTGTGATATACCAATCAGAATACTTTTGAATTTTGTAAAACAAATGAATTAATAAGTCAACGCTTAATATTCGACGTGTTTACTCAAGTCGTATTCAAACATTGGATCATCAGTTGTATACATCATTGACGTAAAACTATGTCCGTTAGCTTCTTTACGCTGATCTACCCTTTGATTATTTGTCTGGCTTTGGTTGTCTGTAGCTCTTTCAAGATCATGCAATGGAATATTGAGTTCCATCGTCTTAGATGGTTGATGATAGTCTTTATCTGAAGAGGTAATAAATACGGTTTATTTCATAAAAATTTCATCTTTTAAAATATGGTAGAGATGCATGATATTGGTATAGAAAATATACGAAATATATGGGTTTTTCACACGTGTAATTTCTAGAGCTCATACATGTACGTATTTGTTTAATTACGCTAAAGAACAAGGAACGGTTTCAATACAAATCTGGCACTGTATTATTCTAAAATATGGAAATGATGTAAGATATTAAATCCATCCTTTCTGAATCATTGAAATTCCATGCAATAAGAACATACAACTCGTGTTTCTCATATGACATCCTAAATGTTAATTGTGACGTCATGAACTTGTGCATTTTCCAGTATTTTCTTCAAAAGTTGCAGAAGACATCAATTTTCCGTGGAATTTTCTTTCACATAATATAGAGCACATGTATCGCCCATAAAGATATTGAGAATTGTGATTTTTCAAAGGATTTTACACAACATATCCAAAAATTGAAGTGGGCGATGGCTTGTTTTCTTAAGGAAAATAACCCCTGAAATGAGTCATTTTGAGGTTTTTCGGTTTAAAACTTAGAAATGAAATATATGAAGATAACAAACAGTATTCAGGCTCAAAAGTCCATCAAACAATACAAAATAGGAGCAGAGCAAACACGGACCTCCAAACATCAGAGGTGGGATCAGGTGCCATGGAGGAGTGAGCACCCCCTGCCGACCGGTCACACCCGCCGTGTGCTACTTGTCATGTTCGGGAAAAAACGGAAAAATCCGTCGACAATTCAGTGTGTAAATAATGGCTTAACAATTTATATGAAAAACGTCAGTCAGCATTTGACTCAATGATATTTTTTTTTTTGCTGACAAGGTCATTGTATCGACCATAGAACTTACGAAATGATGACTTTAAACGAGACAGCTGATATTCTTGTTTCATGAACTTGTTTGTCAATAATTTATCTCGTTTAAGAAATTGTTCATACGTTGAGCATGCTCTTGCGTATCGAATCAACTGAGAGATATATACCCCGTATGCAGGTGATGAAGGTATATTGCTGCATAAGTAAGGGAAGTTGACGATTGAAAAGTTAAAGTCATCACGTTTATCATAAAGCTTGGTTGTTAGATTACCATTAACGTCTTTTTCAAGTAAAATATTCAAATATGAAACAGATGTATCAGACTCTGTGGTATCTTTTATCTCAAGCTCACAAGGATATATCGTATCGAAATAAGAATGGAAATAGCCATTGTTAATTGACAATACGTCGTCGATGTATCTAAATGTCGAATTGAAGGCCACAGCAAGTGTTTTCTTCTTTTCACGTACAAGATTTTGGACAAATTCTGCTTCATATGAATACAAAAAAAAGATCTGCTAATAACGGGACGCAATTGGTACCCATGGGAATTCCAATAGATTGTTGGAAGACCTGGTCTCCAAAAACCACATAGATATTGTCAATCAGAAACTCAAGCATCTTTTTAATGTCAACTTCAGAGTACTTGTGTGTACAATCAGAATGTTTTTTAACAAAATAATTTTGCAAATGACCGATGACAAGGTAAGTAAATTTACGAGTTCCATTTTTATTGAAAAAGCAGCTGTCAATGATATCAAAAAGCCTGGACTTTAATTTATCGTGGGGAATGGTTGTGTATAAAGTTGAAAAGTCGTAAGTTTTAAAGCTGTTGATTTTGGAAAAATCTTGTGATTTCAAATTTTCCAAAAGTTCCTTGGAATTTTTAATTATCCACATCTGATTTACACCACTTAGCGAATATATTGTTGCACAGTACTCTTGAAGTTTCTCCTTCACTACTGTTAATATCTTAGTGAGGAGTAAAGAAAGAGGATTGGTTGAACATTTACTGGAACCTGCTATGTATCTTTGTTTGTAAGGATTTTTATGAAGTTTCGGAATCCAATATAAATATGGTAATTCAAATTCATTTTCGTTGTTTGGAATATTAAAAATATTCAAACCTGACATGTGATTTTGAAGAATGTCTTCCTTAGAAAGGGAACTATGAGTATAAGTTGGATTACCCTTTGTAGAATTAAATCCAAGTTCCTCTAAAATACATTTAATATAATGAGCCTTACAAACAAAGACAATGTTGTTACCTGCTTTGTCAGCAGGGACCAGTACGTACTGATCATGTAATCTATCTAATTCTTTTTTCACTTCTGGATTATTGAAATCAGAAGGATAGATGGTTCTCATATTGCCCCTCAATCTTTTTATGCGCGATTTTAACATACATCTGATACATTTAATCCATTCTGACAAAGTGTCAAGGTCTTCTTTTTCATGTCTGGCCCATCGCCTGGCGTAGTCCTCCACAGAATCCATAATATTTATGAAATTCCGACGCCAGTTGAAGGGTCGGGGTTCTCTATGTTTAGGACTTTTTAAAATTAGTGATCTAAGGTCCTCATTATTAACTATATTTACGTCACCAGTAATAACGTGTCCAGCAGGACTATAATTATAGGGTGAAGAAGAACATGAACACGATGGAGGATTATATTTCAGATATTCGATATCCAGGCCCTGTAAAGTTTTCTTGTAATTAAAAAGTTTGGAAGCAATAGTCGATGTATATTTGTAGGAAATACAAAGTGTAGTATTTAACTTGAAATATGGTGGAATACAAACTGGACCCTTTTGTGATTAAGAATATTACTTATATTAACCGCGTCAATTCCTTTGTTGGCATATTACGTCATTAAAATGTACCAAATTAATGACGTCATATTTCCAGAATGGCCATCCTTCATGACATATTCCATCACATTCATATACGAATGTACTCAACTGATATTTAAGTCAATTTCGTAACTTTTTCAAAACATAAAATTTTAAGGGCGCGATAAAGCCCAAACCGTACCTTCTTCTTTACAATACCTGTAAAACAACGTGTGAATTGAATAAAAACCTCTTGACGATTCATCCTTAAATATTCAATATTCAACATGTCTTGGAATCATATTTATTCATTTTTAAATTACGGCAGACTATTGACAAATAATTTTATGGGTTTCAACAATCTTGTTTAAAGTCAGCTTTTTGCAAATTCTATTATCAGTATGATGACCTTGTTTTCAAATACAAACTATCGTTTGGCCGTATTTTGACTAATGGGTTTCATTCTTATTGTTTAGCCATTGCTTTTATATTACTCTGTCTACTGATGAATTCAGCAGTTGTCAGATAATGTTTACTCCCTCAAAGCATTTTATACAACCTCTGGCGTTGTCATGTGCCCATAATTTTGCTTTGTTTCCGATTTGTATTGATTACAAGATTTATGAGATGGATCACACTTATTATTCATTATCACCCCCTTTTTTATTGAAAAACATGAATACAATTTCGAAACAATATTCATTATTTATAACTTTGTATATGCAAGTTTGCAGTTAACGACAACACGGTCTGCCAAATCAGTTTCATATTTGGACATTTTACGGACGAGATATGGTAAAAGAAATTAACAACTAAATTGTATGACAAACGAGAAGCTTGAGCGTTTCTATCGTCAACTTTCCATATAATATATGTATTACTTTCCGGTATCACTGCATATGTTGTTTACGTCTATCGACTTATTTGATACTCAAGATGATGCTATGAGTATGATCATTTTTTCAACTGAGGCAGGCTACTGACAGATACTGAGTAAGTTGATGTTACAGGGATTTCAACATCCTGATTTAAAGTCAACATTTCGTAAATTCTATGGTTGTTATACTGACTTTGTTAACAAATATAACCTATCATTGGATCGTATTTTGGCTGACGTGTTTCATACCTATTGTTAGGCCTTTGTTTTTATACTAAATTTGACTGTGGAATGTTCCGTCTACCTAATTAATACATAGGGCTCACGGCATTAGTGGACACCTGATCCCACCTCTGGAAATCCTGCGGGTCCGTGTTTTATGTCTTGTTCACAATTTTGTATTATTTTTAGATCAATATTCTATATCTTCCCCTTTTTCATTACAAGCAAAGATCTGGAGTCACAGTAGTGGATCCGAAATTATGAAGAAAGATGACTTTAGATATTTGTTGCAAAACCAAGATCGTTTCGTTCTAATATATATTACTCTGGGGCAAAATCTTCAAACAGCAAGAGTTTGTGAAATTAAAGTGCCATGTCCTTTGTAAAGAGTAGTTTCATATTTTTAGGATTTTGTTATACAAAATGCTTTAAAGATTTGTAATGTAATTATAATTAAACCTCTGGAAAACATACTGTATACAATTCCTTTACATAAGTTTTATTTTTATTTTTACATTTTTTTCTTATACTTGAAAGAATAATCAAAATACAGCGTTTTATGAATAAATCTATGTCAATATAAAGAGAAAAGTAAAAACAGACAAATGACGTGCTGAGATCAGAAGTATATAAATAACGCACTATGAGGATCGAATCATAAGATAAAATTACTAATTGATTGTCCAGACAAAGGTGAGAGGGGCAAATAAGGTCTCAAAGATCTGTGAATGGATCTAAAACAATTTTAAGAAATTGTATTTTGAAAGAAAATAAGAAAAAAAAATAATTGAAATGGGTCGATGTGGATGACAATGGTGATTATGAATTAATGCATTCTTACCAGGATGAAGAACATAAAGTAAGATGGCCTTCCAGTTACATATATTTTTTTTTATTTCAGTAAGAGATTCAACACATTAAAACATGTATTACCTTTCTTTTTGTTTCTGGTTGTCAAACATCTGCAAAGTAGTCATTAAGCACATTATGAGATGGAAGGTGTTTTGACCAAAATATTGTATCAATAAAATCAACAGAATTTACAAAAAGAATAAAAATACCGTAAAAGGTAACCCGCCATCATAGTTGTTGTTAGGAGGAAAATTCCGATTACAACAACTATTGTGACGATCGTGGATTCGGTAAAGTGATTTTCGACAGTTGTTTCTATAAAAGAAAAAGATTATTACAAAAATAATATAAATGTTGAAGTCACGGTATTCTTTAGAAAAATCTGTTCTCAAGATTGAAAATACAATTTATATTTTTCAAATGACTTTGATATAATTCAGTTATCTTATTCTTTGACTTGTTTCTAATCATGTATTCCAATTTGTGTTAAGGTCTAAAAGTCTTAAAGACTAAAATTTGGAGTAAAATAAGCTTCCAAAAATTCATGTCATAGATATCTTCATTGACCATTCATCACTTTCCTACACAGCTAATTTTCAGGAGGTTACAGTAAAGCAATATGAAAAGACATCAAAAGCAAAGTTAACTTCTTGATAGAAAATTGCATTTCACTAATAATGAACTCCAACCTGCACAGAAACAATAGTATCAATATACGCTGTAGGAGCATCAATTTGAAATAGTCAATATTTGAATATTTTATTTATTATCAGTAAATTAGGATTCTAAGACGATGCTCATAAGGAAAACGTTTGCATTTTATATATTATATTTCAACAGCATTTAACAAATAATAATCCTTAACAACAATATTATTTATTAAACCCTATAACTATTTATCAATCGCTTGTCACCAGAAGAGAGTTAATTCCTGATTTCCAATTGATGTCTGCCTTTCTCTAGATTGTCTGTTGGTATTTTCAAACTGATTTCTCAGAAATTCGGCTTAAATGAAATATCAAGCTTTTGAAAAAAGAGAAATATTACAATTATATATATATCTCTAAGATGTTGTATCTCCGAATGTTCAGACTTGCAGGATTAATACTAATTAAACAAATTAATTCTCTATTTAATGTCATGCATAATGCATCCCTAGTTATTTCATCAATTCAAGATTAGTCAAATGTAAAACTTTCATATCCACTTTTGAATTGAACAACCTGAACAGTTTTGATTATTCATTTGCAATATAAGCAAGAAGGTCAGATTCAGATAAATGTAGCAGGATCTACAGGTCAATGGACCTTCTACAAAATTTTTATCTAAAATGTAATTAATATACAGTATCTGAAATATAGGTTGTATATGACATTTCTCAATTTCAAAAGATTGTACAAGAATAATTTGCAATTAACATGTTGTGGCTATGCGCAGCTCTGGGCCCGAGGTACAAAACATGCAGCAGTAATAGCTACTCGACAAAACACCTATTTCAAGATGTTTCCCTCCCCAATTTTGTAAGATGATAAGTAAAGATATTTTTCGAGAGATACTGTACATGCATAATGTAAAAATATGACAAATCATTAATAGGACATAAATTTGTTGAACATGTATTGTGTATTAAAGAAAATTTAATTTAGATAAAACATCTGATACATGATGAAATAATAACAAACATCTTTATAATTGTACACTTGGCAATAATTTATTGAAAAGGGAATGCTAACAATTTAATCCATACAGAAAATTACAGGAGTACGTGCCAGGAGGCAACACTTGTTACAACCTGCTCAAGGTAAAACTTCACGTTACTTAGAAATGTATCTTCTTCAAAATTCAAAAACCTAATAATCATTCAGCTAGAAAATGAAAATATCTTTAATTTTTTTTTGTAGGAAACCTGCAATATTTGAATAAATTTAAGATATTAACGTACACTACACATCAATGTTTTTTTTAATATTATTTGAGTCATTTTGTTAGTGATTGGTGGATTATAGGGTGTGTGTGATTGTTAATTAGCAGTTTAACAAAATACGATTCAGAGCTATAGTCTTCTATAAATTATTTGCATAGAGGATAATGTTTCTGTTTACAGATGTGGAAAAATTATATTGAAATGTACATATAACCTTAACGATAACGTTTGCAAAGCAATTTTATTTTCATTTTTAACATTAATTTGAATTTTTTTTTTTTTTGCTCTTATGTAGTAGTAACAATAATAATAATAATAATAATAATATGTACTAGGTACAATTTTAATAGAGAGAGACATAATTGATTGATTGATTGTAAGTTGTTTTACGTCCCATTCGAGAATTTTTAACTTATATAGAGACGTCACCATATACCAGTGAAGAGCTTCAAATTTTGACCTTTACTCGGCACTCAGGGCCATTGAGCAGTGAGGGATCTTTATCGTGCCAACGCCTGTCGTGACACGGGACCTCAGTTTTTAAGGTCTCATCCGAAGGACCCGCAGCTTTCACTTCAAAGTGCCGAGCGCATGGCGAAGGAACAGTTGCTACCCATTTTTTATCGACTTAGGTCAGTCGCAGCCGAGATTCGAACTAACGAACTCTCGATCTCGGAGCGAGCGATCTATAGAAAGAGACATAATTGAAGCATCTAGAAATAATCAGTCGTCAAATGACATTTGACAGTGACGATCACGACTGGCAAGTATGAAATATTCCTGCATGTATGTAAAATTTTATAAAATTTTGATTAGACAATATCAGTAAATATTAACATTTAGCAACTCTCGTTTTGGTCTAGGATTTTCCCACGTGATTCATATCCTTAGCCCTAGAAATCAACGATCAAGTATGCTTCACTTCACGAATGAAAATATCTCACTGAATTGTCTGCGATTGATCCAGTTTTTAAATTAAATCACTTCCCACTCATAAATGTTTCACAATTATCACAAAAAAGTACATGTAATCTTAGCGATTATTTTTCCTGGTTTAGACTGAAATATTTTCAGAGATTTAAAGAAATATTTGTAAACTTATACATTGTTCAATATATGTGTAGTAGAAATAATATTAATACCTGTAACATTTAGACAGGAACAGTTAAATCGATCACACTGCTCACACATACAATCATTTCTACAACCAAATCCACAGTAGCCGATTTTACATGGACTAGAACATTGTGGACCGAAGTGTCCATAACAGGCTGAAAAACAAATAATAATAATCAACATTTCATGATATACAGTAGTGTAAAAAAGGTGAAAAGATTGATTTTATTAACTCGGTGAAACTTTTCATCACGATTATTGTAAAGCTAAGCTTAGTTACAGATGCTGAAGTATTCGATCGGCACGGATGACAGAGAGATTTACAGCACGCTGAAGTTCGATAAAGGAGAAGGAGACAGAAAATTGAAAGACGTCCTCGATGCTTTTGACGCTTACTGTAGACCCAAATGAAACAAAACAGTAGAGAGATTCAGGTTCAATATGAGGAAACAGGAACCAGGTGAGACAATAGAAACATTTATCACTGATCTAAAAACATTAGCTGCAAAGTGTAACTATGGAGAAATTGTGGATTCACTAGTGAGAGACAGAATACTTTGTGGGATTCTTGATTTACACCTGAGAACGTTTTTTTAAGAACATCAGAACTTATCTTAGGTAAGTGTGTTGATATAACGCATGCAGCTGAAATCACAAAACTAGGAATTAGCGTATTGGATAGCAACACTTCAGTAAGCAGTCATGCAGAAAATGTGAACAAAATTAGCAAAGGTAAACCGAGTGCAAAGACAAGTGGAAGTAAACAGTCACATACTGATAACAACAAACCTTGTAAATATTGTGCCAAATTACATGAGCCCAAGAAAGAAAAAATGTCCTGCATATGGAAAAAAGTGTCGACTGTGCCATAACATGAATCACTATGAAACAGTATGCAGAATTGCTTCCAAGAAATCACAACCAAAATATAAAACGAAAACTACATCAAATTGGGACGGGTTGGTCGGACACTGACAGTGATGATGACTATTCTGTTTGGACCATACAAGAAGAAAACACACAATCAGCACACACTGTTCTCTAACAGTGTGCATACGTCAATGATTATTCGTGGAAAGGAAGTGGCATTCCAACTAGACAGCGTGGCCACATGTAACATTTTACCTAGTAGTGTGATTCCAAACATACCGCCACTTCAGCCTAAAAATAACACCTTCAAGATGTACAACAAATCTACCATAAAGCCTCAAGGAAAAACACATCTACAAGTTACCAATCCAAGGAATGGTAACTCATATGACACTGAATTTGTTGTCATTTAAGAGGACTGCATGCTGCTCTTAGGAAATAAATCTCTACAGCACATGGAGCTCTTGAACTGGAGAAAGGAGATGTAAAACAGCTGTTACCATCACCTCTCAGTAAGAAGCAGTTATTAGCAGAGTATCCAGATGTCTGAAGGTATAGGTCGTCTCGCACGGAAATATCACTTAGTTCTAGATAAAAACATACACATTGCAGTTCATCCTCCAAGAAAAGTGACTATCGCACTGAAGCCATTGTTAAAAGCTGAACTTGATAGATTATAGGAAATGAACATTATCACACCAGTTAGTGAACCAACCCCATGGGTCTCCAGCTGTTTGATGGTCGTGAAATTGAACAAAGTCAGAATCTGCATAAATCCTAAGGACTTGAACAAAGCACTTAAGAGGAGCCATTATTCACTTTCTATGATAGAGGAAACACTTCCAAACCTTTCTCGTGCAAAAGTATTCAGCGTTTTGGATGCACGGAATGGATTTTGGCATGTTGAGCTAGATAAGGAAAGCTCTATGCTCACTACATTTAACACCTCATTTGGACGGTTCAGATGGCTAAGGATGCCTTTTGGAATTTCGACTGCACCAGAAGTGTATCAACGTCGTTAAAATCAGACAGTAGAAGGACTACCAGGTGTCTTGAATATTGCTGACAATATACTGGTTTATGGTGAAGGCAACACGGAAGAAGGATAAACTAAGACTTAGAGAGACTAAAGTAAGATTTGTAGGACATCTCATAACAAAGGACGGTTTGAAACTAGACCCTGAGAAAGCCAAAGCTGTGAACGAAATGCCGAATCCTAGAGATGTTGCAGGAGTGAGAGGTTTCCTGGGATTCGTTAGCTACCTGAGCAAATTTTTACTGAGTTTGAGTGAAATTTGCGAACCGCTACGAAAGCTTAGAGTGAAAGACACATTGTGGAGCTGGCACGAGATTCATGACCAAGCAGTAGAGAAAGTCAAAATGA